TTTTTTTTTTTTTTTTTGAGACGGAGTTTTACTCATGTTACCCAGGCTGGAGTGCAATGGCCCAATCTCGGCTCGCCGCAACCTCCGCCTCCTGGGTTCAGGCAATTCTCCTGCCTCAGCCTCCTGAGTAGCTGGGATTACAGGCACGCGCCACCATGCCCAGCTAATTTTTTGTATTTTTGGTAGTGACGGGGTTTCACCATGTTGACCAGGATGGTCTCGATCTCTTGACCTCGTGATCCACCCGCCTCGGCCTCCCAAAGTGCTGGGATTACAGGCTTGAGTCACTGCGCCCGGCCCTTTTTTTTTTTTTTTGAGATGGAGTCTTGGACTGCCACCCTGGCTTGAAGTGCAGTGGGGCGATCTCACCTCACTGCAATCTCCGCCTCCTGGGTTCAAGCAATTCTCCTGCCTCAGTCTCCTGAGTAGCTGAGTACCACTCCCGGCCAATTTTTATTTTTTTATTTTTAGTAGAGACGGGATTTCACCATGTTGGCCAGGATGGTCTTGATCTCCTGACCTCGTGATCCACCCACTTCAGCCTCCCGAAGTGCTGGGATTACAGGCGTGAGCCACCGTGCCCAGCCCCTCAATTTCTTTATCTATAACATGACAGCCTGCCTCATAGAGATGTTGAGTCTTAAATGTACTGAATAAAAGCATTATGATTACTACAAAGTTTTCCGTATTTCTTTGACCCCTTACTCCATCATAAAACCCTGAACATACCCCAATATTCCCAACTCAGTTTATGCTTCTCACTTTAATTCTTAGAATATATTTCTTCCCAAATTTCGTCTTCTTTTTTTTTTTTTTTGAGATACAGTCTCACTCTGTCGTCCAGGCCAGTCTGGAATATAGCGGCTCAATCTTGGCTCACTGCAAACTCCACCTCCTGAGTTCAACAGATTCTCCTGCCTCAACCTCCTGAGTAGCTGGGGTTACAGGCGTAAGCCACCACGCCCAGCTAATTTTTGTACTTTTAGTAGAGACGGAGTTTCACCATGTTGGCCAGGATGGTCTGGAACTCCTGACCTCAGGTGATCCATCTACCTCGGCCTCCCAAAGTGCTGGGATTACAGGTGTGGGCTCTTTAACTACTTTTTAACACTCAAAAGTGATAAAAAGAAAAATATACTCCTGGTTGGGCATGGTAGCTCAACCTGGTTGGGCATGTAACCTCAGCACTTTGGGAGGCAAAGGAGGGAAATCAGCTGAGATCAGGAGTTTGAGATGAGGCTGGCCAACAGGGTAAAACTCTGCCTCTACTAAAAATACAAAAATCAGCTGGGTGTGGTGGTGGGCGCCTGTAATCCCAGCTACTCAGGAGAGTATGGCAGGAGAATCACTTGAACCCAGGAGGTGGAGGTTGGAGTGAGCTGAGATCTCGCCATTGCACTCCAGCCTGAATGACAGAGCAAGACCCCTTCTCTCAAAAGCAAACAAACAAAAAAAAGCAAGCTTACTAAGATGGTGGCATTTCCTTCATTTTGAAAGCTAACACAGCTTATTAACAATGTTTCCAGGGCCAGTAGCAGTGGCTCATGACTGTAATCCCAGCACTTTGGGAGGTCGAGGCAGGTGAATCACCTGAGGTCAGGAGTTCAAGACCAGCCTGGCCAATAGGGTAAAACCCCACCTCTACCAAAAACACAAAAATTAGCTGGGCATGGTGGCGGGCACCTGTAATCCCAGCTGCTCAGGAAGCTGAGGCAGGAGAATAGCTTGAACACAGGAGGTGAAAGTTGCAGTGAGCAAAGATTCTACCACTGCACTGCAGCCTGGATGACAACAGCAAAACTGTCTCAAAAAAAAAAAAAAAAAAAAAAAAAAAAAGGAATGTTTCCAGAGTATCATTTCTAAACAATGGCCGAGCTCTCCTAAAAGCAACATGTGCCATGACTAAACACAGGGAAGAGAAAATAAGTCTTCATTAACTTTTATAAACCACATACCCTGCTGCCAGTATGTCTTCTCCGGTTAGACATTGGAGAATGGCTTCGGCTCCTTCGCCGCCGGTATTCTGGTGTATATGATCTACTTCGAGATCGTCTCCTATGAGAGTGAGAGTGGGATCTGGATCGAGTGTAACGTCTATGAGAATGCCTCCTTGACCTTGACCTTTGAGAGAAATACATTTAGGTAAAAATACTGAAACAAAATGGCTAATGTCCTTCCCTCTTCCAAGGAGGTATACGTATATCCCTACGTATTCTCAGGTCCTTCCTCATTTCTAAGGAAAGAGTATTCTTCCTCTTCTTCACTACCCTTAAGTCACAACATCTTCCACTCTGCTCTCAGTCAAGCCCCTCCACATTCACCCTTTTCATCTTACCTTCCAAAAATTTTAAGGCCCCATTTTCTTTAAAAAGGGGGAAAACCACCCCAACCACTGTTATTAAATAAAATCCTTTGATTCTTAGCTAAGCGCAGTGGCATGTGCTTATGTTTCCAGCTACTTGGAAAGATAACCAAGAAAACCACCTGAGCCCAGGAGGACAAGTCCAGCGCAGGCAACATAGCGAGATTCCACACCTCCATTAAAAAAAACTAAAAAACAGGCCGGGCACAGTGGCACACGCCTGTAATCCCAGCACTTTTGGAGGCCAAGGCAGGCAGATCATGAGGTCAGGAGATTAAGACCAGTCTCTACTAAAAATACAAAAATTGGCCAGGCATGGTGGCGTGTGCCAGTAGTCACAGCTACCTGTGAGGCTGAGGCAGGATAATCGCTTGAACCCGGGAGTTAGAGGTTGCAGTGAGCCAAGACTGCACCACTGTACTCTAGCTTGGGTGACAAAGCGAGACTCTGTCTCAAAAACAGACAAACAACCACAAAAAACACAAAATTCTTTTTGATTTCCCACTGCCTTCTACATATAGTTTTTTTTTTTTGAGGCAGGGTCTTGCCCTGTTGCCCAGGCTGGAATGCAGTGGCATGATCTCAGCTCACTGCAACCTCTTGTCTCCTGGGCTCAATCAATTCTCCCACCTCAGATTCCCAGACAGCTAGGACTACAGGAATGCATTACCACACCTGGCTATATACACACATATATATAGTAGAGATAAGGTTTCACCATGTTGCTTAGGCTGGTCTTGAACGCCTGGGTTTAAGCAATTTGCCCACCTTGGACTCCCCAAGTGCTGGAATTACAGGCGTGAGCCACGTGCCAGATCAATTTTTGTATTTTTAGTAGAATCAGAGTTTCACCAAGTTGCCCAGGCTGCTCTTGAACTCCTGACCTCAAAAGATCCACCCACCTTGGCCTCCCAAAGTTCTGAGATGATAGGTGTGAGCCATTGCACCCAACCCTTAAAACTTTTATCCTACCTAAAAACAAACAAACAAACAAACAAAAAACAAAAAAGGCTGGACGTGGTGGCTCACACCTGTAATCGAAGCACTTTGGAAGCCAAGGTGGGCGGATCACCTGAGGTCGGGAGTTCAAGACCAGTCTGACCAACCTGGTGAAACCCCATCTTAAAAAACAAAAAACAAACAAACAAAAAACAACTTTTATCCTACCCCAGTACACCTGGGACATTTGACAGTGAACTTTGCATTGGTTCACTATAGTGTTTTTGCTGTCCGTGATGGTGGGGCTCTGAATCAGCTGAGGACTTTCCTACCCAATTACATCTGACCAGAGCTCTACCCCGGACAGAGTCAGAATCTTCAGATAAAAATGTAGCTGGGCTTTTCAGTCGGGCGCTGAGTGGGTTTATCGGATCATGTCTAGTGGCTCCGCAGATTATAACAGAGAACATGGCGGCCCAGAGGGAATGGACCCCGATGGTGTCATCGAGAGCAACTGGAATGAGATTGTTGATAACTTTGATATGAATTTAAAGGAGTCTCTTCTTCGGGGCATCTATGCTTACGGTTTTGAGAAGCCTTCCACTATTCAGCAGAGAGCTATTATTCCCTGTATTAAAGGGTATGATGTGATCGCTCAAGCTCAGTCAGGTACTGGCAAGACAGCCACATTTGCTATTTCCATCCTGGATTGAGTTCAAGGAGACCCAAGCACTAGTACTGGCCCCCACCAGGGAACTGGCTCAACAGATCCAAAAGGTAATTCTGGCACTTGGAGACTATATGGGAGCAACTTGCCATGCCTGCATTGGTAGAACAAATGTTTGAAATGAAATGCAAAAACTGCAGGCCGAAGCACCACATATTGTTGTTGGTACATCTGGGAGAGTGTTTGATATGTTAAACAGAAGATATCTTTCTCCAAAATGGATCAAAATGTTTGTTTTGGACGAAGCAGATGAAATGTTGAGTCGTGGGTTTAAGGATCAAATCTATGAGATTTTCCAAAAACTAAATACAAGTATTCAGGTTGTGTTGCTTTCTGCCACAATGCCAACTGATGTGTTGGAAGTGACCAAAAAATTCATGAGAGATCCCATTCGAATTCTGGTGAAAAAGGAAGAATTGACCCTTGAAGGAATCAAACAGTTTTATATTAATGTTGAGAGAGAGGAATGGAAGTTGGATACACTTTGTGACTTGTATGAGACACTGACCATTATGCAGGCTGTTATTTTTCTCAATACAAGGCGCAAGGTGGACTGGCTGACTGAGAAAATGCATGCCACAGACTTCAGTTTCTGCTCTGCATGGTGACATAGACCAGAAGGAGAGAGATGTTATCATGAGGGAATTCCAATTGGGGTCAAGCCGTGTTCTGATAACTACTGACTTGTTGGCTCGTGGGATTGATGTGCAACAAGTGTCTTTGGTTATAAATTATGATCTACCTACCAATCGTGAAAACTATATTCACAGAATTGGCAGAGGGGGTTGATTTGGGAAGAAAGGTGTGGCTATAAACTTTGTTACCGAAGACGACAAGAGGATTCTTCGTGACATTGAGACTTTCTACAATACTACAGTGGAGGAGATGCCCATGAATGTGGCTGATCTTTAATTCCTGGGATGAGAGTTTTGGATGCAGTGCTCGCTGTTGCTGAATAGGCGATCACAACGTGCATTGTGCTTCTTCTTCTTTTTTTTTTTTTTTTTGAGACAGAGTTTCGCTCTTGTTACCCAGGCTGGAGTGCAATGGCGTGATCTCGGCTCACCGCAACGTCCGCCTCCTGGGTTCAGGCAATTCTCCTGCCTCAGCCTCCTGAGTAGCTGGGATTACAAGCACGCGCCACCATGCCCAGCTAATGTTTTGTATTTTTAGTAGAGACGGGGTTTCACCATGTTGACCAGGATGGTCTTGATCTCTTGATCCACCCGCCTCGGCCTCCCAAAGTGCTGGGATTACAGGCGTGAGCCACCACGCCCTGCCGCATTGTGCTGCTTTCTGTGGGAATATTTGAATCTTGTCTCAATGCTCATAACAGATCAGAAATACAGATTTTGATAGCAAAGCGACATTAGTCGTGAGCTCTTGTGAGTAAAGTCATTGGCTTTATCCTCTTTAGAGTTAGGCTGTTGGGGTGGGTATAAAAGATGGGGTCTGTAAAATCTTTCTTTCTTAGAAATTTATTTCCTAGTTCTGTAGAAATGGTTGTATTAGATGTTTTCTAACATTTAATAATAAACTTGTGGACTAAAAGATATAAGTGCTGTATAAAGTCAGCCAATTATGTTAAACTAGCATATCTGCCTTTATTGTGTTTGTCATTAGCCTGAGTAGAAAAGCCTTTAAAATTTTTTTAGAAAGCATCTGACTGCATTTTGTTTGGTATTGTATTTATTCAATAAAGTATTTAATTAGTGCTAAGTGTGAACTGGACCCTGTTGCTAAACCCCAGCAAGCAATCATCCTAGGTAGGGTTTAATCCCCAGTAAAATTGCCATATTGCACGTCTTAATGAAGTTTGAATGTTAAATAAATTGTATATTCACTTTAAAAAAAAAAAAAAAATGTAGCTGGAATGCAAATGCCAAAAATGCTTCTCAATAGTACTAACCAACCAGCATAACATACATATATCAATGTTCTCTGTATTAAATTACATGTGAGTCTCCAATGCAGAAAACTGCCTTTTTGTTGTATAAATATTGTTGACAAACTAACGAAAAAATATTGTTGGCATAAAACCAAACATTAATTCTCAAATGACAAACACATTTAAATCAACAGATATACACACATAATTTGTATTGGTTGCAAGTATCCAATATATTAATTGGGCTGGGAGATGATTTTATTACTAATTTCTTATTTTTTAGAGACAGGGTCTCTCTGACAATCAATGCTGCTTGGAACTCCTGGGCTCCAGCTGTACTTCCAAGTCTCTGTCTGGGGTATAGCATTCATTTATAAAGTGCAGTCTGAGAAAAACTACTTCATAATTTTGAGTCTTTTGTGAAATTTCTACACAAAATGCAGCCAAAAACTGCTTTGTCCTCAAAAGTCACAGAAGAATTTTTTTTTTTTTTTTTGAGATGGAGTTTCACTCTTGTTGCCCAGGCTGGAGGGCAATGGCCCGATCTCGGCTTGCCACAACCTCCGCCTCCCGGGTTCAAGTGATTTTCTTGGCTCTGCCTCCCGAGAAACTGGGATTACAGGCATGGGCCACCATGCCCGGCTAATTTTGTGTACACACACACACACACACGTATATGCCCGGCTAATTTTGTGTACACACACACACACACACACACACACACACACACACACACGTATGTTAGTAGAGATAGGGTTTCTTCAGGTTGGTCAGGCTGGTCTTGAACTCCCAACCTCAGGTGATTCGCCTGCCTCCCAAAGTGCTGGGTTACAGGCATGAGCCACCGTGCCAGGCCAGAATATTTTAAGTATTATCTTAAACACACTTACCTGGATTTTGATCTTGATCGAGAATGGGATTCAGAGTGTTTGGAAACCCTTGATGGACTACGAGATCCTGACCTGCTCTCCGATTTTACACGAGCAGGAGTTCCCGTTGGAGATTTTGACTGAGAGCGAGACTCCTAACAAAGAAGACAGTATTACAAATGGCACTGGTCATGTAGATGCCTAACACCTAACATTTAAAGTACCGTAATTATTTATATTGATTGCTCCTGAAAAACAAATGGTTAGGCAACACCCTCCAGAAAAAATTTCAGCTCAATAATAACCCCTTGTTAATACTGCTAACTGTCCTCAATAATTCCCTACTTGAACCAGATCACCAATTCTCTATTAACTAAGTAATCATGCAAATTCATCTACAACTTGATCATACAGACACTGGAACATAAACCATACATTTACTTAACCTAGGACCCATTCATTCTTCCAGATTCTTTTAATTCTACTTCACTCTTGCTTTCTACTTCTCTTCATTCTTCATTTTTTCATTTTTCATACTTCGTGTATTCTTCCCCAATTCAAACAATTCAAAATAGCCTTAAAAAAAATATTCAAGTGCTTCTATCTGACCAATCTTCTGTTCAATTTTTTCCCCCATTCAATTTTAATTTTCTGATCTTTAATACTTTTCATTAGCCTTCTTTTATCTTGATTTATCTTCCACATTCTTGGAAAAAACTCTTCAATTTCTTCACGAACATTAACCTTAATGGAAAAAGAACATTTAGTATATTTAAGCACGTGGGGATTATAAAACTCTGCTGGAGTTCAGAATGTTATCTACCAAATGGAAAAGCCAGCAGGTAAAGTGCAAATAACTAGTTTATTTTTTCAAAAAAACAATTTTATAGTCTTTAAAATTGTTCAAAAGTCTAGTTTCTAACAGAGAATTTACTAAATTTCTCTAAATGTTTTTTTACCATACTCTTCACCCTCCTCCCCTTTCATGTTTCATTCTAGTTCCTAAAATGTGAACAATTTTAATATAAATAATTCAAACATAAATCTAAACAACTGTTAATATTCCCCCCACCTAAGTGTTAAATTTTCACTATTTTATAACCTGAAGATTTTTAAAAGAAGCTTTCACTAAGTCATGCTAAGAAATCAAGATATAGTTAGAGTGAGGCAACCCAGGCTGAAATATCTGTACAAGCCTATCTAAACTCACCCATAGCACAGATGTCAAGGTTCAAGTAAGTCAAAAAGAAAAAAAAATCAGTAAAATTACACCTTCTTCCAACTTTGACCACTAACTTTGCTCATTCTCACTTAAAATACGTTCTGAAGACAAGCATACTGAAGCATGAAATTCTTAAAATTTCCCTGTTAGCTTATTAATTCCTGATACATGTATTTTTGCAACCATGCCACTTTAAAATGCTCTATCATCCATGAAATACCACAATGTGCAAGAAGGTACAAAATTTACATCATGGTCTTTATCTTTGACCCCACCTTCTTTTGTTCCATTTTTACATAATTAATACATTTATGTATACTGGTACTCCCTTCAGTGACTATATCCTACATCTAAAAAGTGATGAGTTTCTGAAAAAGTTGGATGTAAATCAAAGCATTCCAAATAAAATAACTCACTGATCACAAACTTTTTTTTTGAGACCAGAGTCTTACTCTCTTGCCCAGGGTGGAGGGCAACGGCACTGCATTGGCTCACTGCAACCTCTGTCTCCTGGGTACAAGCAATTCTCCTGCCTCAGCCTCCCGAGTAGCTGGGATTACAGGTGCCCGCCACCACGCCCAGCTAATTTTTATATTTTTAGTAGAGACAGGGTTTCACCAGGTTAGCCAGGCTGGTCTCAAACTTCTGATCTCAGATGATCTGCCCGCCTCAGCCTCCCAACGTGCTGGGGTTGTAGGATGAGCCACTGCACCCGGCCCACGAGCTTGTTTTTTTAAGTTGACAGACATGAGGCACTTATAATCGAAACAGGATGGACAGCTTGGTTTCTACGTCCAGTTAGGCCTTGATTATTAGTGTAAGTAATTATCTAAATTTCACAGAAGTAATTTCGTAGCAATTTTCATTTATGCCATAAGACTATCATACAACTCAAATAGCTTTCTGAAAATCTTTCCTTTGCTTCAAGTTTAACGTCAAGACCTCTACTAATGCCACCTGGTCATTTTCCTTCAGATAAAAACAAAACTGAAATACACAGCTACCTTTCTGCTAAATACTAACCTTTCCCATTTAGCTACCTACAAGTCTTTCACTGCATCTCAGATACTCTAAGCTACTGAACAGAGGTCTGGAGCATGCATTGAAATTTGGGCTTTTTCATTTGCTAAAAGTATGAAAGCAGCATATTCATTATCTTATAAAAAAAGGCATAGCAAAATTTGCTTGTAATTGAAGTTTCACAGACTGGTTCATTAACCAAACTGATAAAAATATCTTGCCCTCTTCTCTTTTGGCTTTCCTTCATACAAAACAGACCCAATGACATAACATGCATTTATGTTACTGTTGAACAGCAACAGCTAGATTATTATCTATGAACACCACTAAAGTCCTTGTTATACCTACATATCAGGAGGCTTTGCTCTGTAAAACACTACAAACCTTTAATTTTACTAGGATGGAAATAAAAACGTTTTATTAACATAAACAAGATAATTCAGCCCAGTTTTGGAGTAGCAACAAAGCATTACGATATGACAGAATGTCTTTTTAAGACACAATAGCTTTATTTTAACTAACTAATTAATTTATGAATGAGGAGGAGGAGTCTTGCTGTCGTCCAGGCTGGAGTATAGTGGTGCAATCTCAGCTCATTACAACCTCCACCTCCTGAGTTCAAGTGATTCTCCTGCCTCAGCCTCCCTAGTAGCTGGGATTACAGGCAAGCATCACCTTGCCCTGCTAATTTTTGTATTTTTAGTAGAGACCAGGTTTTCTCATGTTGGACAAGCTGGTCTCAAACTCCTGACCTCAAGTGATCTGCCCGCCTCGGACTCCCAAAGTGCTAGGATTACAGGCGTGAGCCACCATGCCTGTCCGACATTAGCTTTATTTATTTTTATTTTTTGAGACAGAGTCACACTCTTGTCACCAGGTTAGAGTTTGGTGGCACGATCTTAGCTCACTGCAACATCTGCCTCCCGGGTTCAGGCGATTCTCCTGCCTCAGCCTCCTGAGTAGCTGGGACTATACTATAGGTACGTGCCACCACACCCAGCTAACTTTTTTTTTGCATTTTTAGTAGAGACGGGAGTCTCTCTTTTTATCTGGGGGAAATCTCAGTCTGTACAAATTTCTCCATGGAACATCAAGGTTTAAAACATTCCTCATTCCTCTTAGCTTTCTCTAACTCCTAGTTACAAAATTGTCGCTATAATTTTAGCTCACTTTTTTTTTTTTTTTTTTTTGAGATAAAGTCTCGCTTTGTAGCCCCCAGGCTGGAGTGCAGTGGCACAATCTCACCTCACTGCAACCTCCACCTCCTGGGTTTAAGATTCTCCTGCCTCAGCCTCCCAAGTAGCTCAGATTACAAGTGCGCACCACCACACCCAGCTAATTTTTGTGTTTTTAGTAGAGACAGGGTTTCACTATGTTGGCCAGGCTGGTCTCAAACTCCTGAGGTCAGGTGACACCCTCCCCCCAGCCTCCCAAAGTGCTGGGATTACAGGCATGAGCCACCAAACCCAGTTTCATTTTAACTTTCAAAAACAACCTACACTTAAGTCAGTCAGTAACTGTTAGTAAACTTAACTGGAAAAATCAACTGCCAAGTACATAGTTATTTAGAAATAAAGTAACATTTCTTAAAAGCTGTTACCAAATAAATGCTATTTTCACTGAACTCTGCATTAGGAATCAGGATATAAGTACCTTATATAAACAGGACAAATGCTAGATAATCTTTTTGACTTGTCTTTATGAAATAATTTCAACTTTTTTCAAATAAATTCATAAAACTAACCACAATTTGGAAAATGAATTTAAATTGCAACCAAAAAAACAAAAAAAACCCCAAAATTGTTAGGAATGGGTGGTACCTGACATTTCACTACACTTCCTGTTCTTAAAGCTGTCTAGTCAAGGAATCCTACCAATTCCTCAGTAATCTGGCTCCTGGATCCAATAACCATTAAAAATACACTGCCCAGTTGAAATGGGCAGATTAATAACTCACAACTCATATCATGAATTTTAACAGAAATCTTATACAGGCCTCCAGTCTATCTTAGATGCTATAAAGCAGAAGCCAGGCAGAAAAGTTCTTACAGCACAACCTGCTCAAACAGGTTTCTGTTTTGATGTTGATTTGCTTGTTCGGTTGGTTTTTCTGTCACCCAGGCTGGAGTGCAGTGGTACAATCTTCTCATTGCAACCTCCACCTCCTGGGTTCAAAGAATTCTCCTGCCTCAGCCTCCTGGGTAGCTGGGATTACAGGCACCCACCACCACACCCGGCTAATTTTTGTATTTTATGTTAGTAGAGACAGGGATTTACCACGTTAACCAGGCTGGTCTAGAACTCCTTACCTCAAGTGATCCACCCACCTTGGCCTCCCAAAGTGCTGGGATTACAGGCATGAGCCTCTGTGCCTGGCCTGCTTGCTTAGTTTTAACTATTCTTTATTCTCAAGATGCCCCTGCTGTTAGTTGAAGGAAGTGGCCAAAAATTAAAAGGAGGGAGTTAAGAACACTAAGAAAAGTGTTTGCAGCTGCCGTCGCTCTCCAATGCCAGTGCCGCCTCTCGCTCGCCGAGCTCCAGCCAAAGGAGAAGAGGGGTAAGTAAGGAGGTCTCTATACCATGGCTCAGTACAAAGCAGACTGCCTGCAAAGCTACCGGTGGTAAAGCACCCAGAAAGCAACTGGCTACAAAAGCCACTTGCAAGAGTGCACCCTCTACTGGAGGGGTGAAGAAACCTCATTGTTACAGGCCTGGTACTGTGGCACTCCGTGAAATCAAACAGATGTTATCAGAAGTCCATTGAACTTCTGATTTGCAAACTTCCCTTCCAGCGTCTGGTACGAGAAATTGCTCAGGAATTTTAAACAGACCTGCGCTTCCATAGCACAGCTATCAGTACTTTGCAGGAGGCAAGTGAGGCCTATCTGGTGGGCCTTTTTGAAGACACCAACC